CCTTTGATCTGTTTGTGTGTCTTGATTACTGTATATATATTTTTTTTAATTTAATGTTTGTTTATTTTTTGAGAGAGACAGAGCACAAGCCGGGGTAGGGGCAGAGAGACAGGGAGACACAGAATCCAAAGCAGGCTCCAGGCTCTGAGCTGTCAACACAGAGCCGGATGCAGGGCTCAGACTCCTAAACTGTGAGATCATGACCTGAGCCGAAGTTGAGCGCTTAACGGTCTGAGCCACCCAGGCGCCCCATTGATTACTGTATATTTATAGTAAGCCTTGAAATCAAGTAATATTAGTCCTCTGACTTTGTTCAGCTCCTTCAATATTTTGTTTCCTACTGTGTGTCTTTTGACTATCAATATAAACTTTAGAATCAATTTGTTGATATTCACCAAATAACTTGCTATTTAGTTTGGGATTGCATTGAATCTGTAAGTCAAGTTGGGAAGAATGACACTTTGACCCTATTGAGTCTTTCTGTCCGTGTACATGAAATCTCTCTCCCATTTATTTAGTTCTTTGATTTTGTTTATCAGCTACCTAGCTTTCTTCCTGTAGATCCTGTACATACTATGTTAGACTTATACCTAAGTATAACTTCCTTTTCTGGTAGTGTAAAGTTACTGTGTTTTTAAATGCAAATTCCACTTGTTCATTGCTGACTTGTGTACTGTCTTAGTCTGAACTGTTATAACAAAGCAACATAGACCATATGGTACATAAGCAACAGATGCTTCTCACTGTTCTAGAGGCTGGGAAGCCCAAGATCACTGTGATGGCTAATTAGGTGTCTAAGTGAGGGCCCTATTCTTGGCTGCAAAAGACTGTTTTCTTGTTGGATTCTCATATTGTGGAGATTAAGAGCTCTCTGAGGTCCCTTGTATAAGGTCACTAATCTCCTTCATGAGGGTTCCCCTCTAACACAGTCATTGACTTCCCAGGGGCACCACCTCCACATACCATCCCTGTGGGTTAGAATTGCACCATATGGGATTTAGGTGGATAACACAGTCAGCACATTGTATTAACCTTGTGTCCTTCAGTCTTGCTATAATCATTTCTTAGTTCCAAAAGTTTTTTCTTTTTGACTCTGTGGAGTTTCTACATAGACCATGTGATCTGCAAATAAGACAGTTTTATTTCTTCATAATGTCTGTCCTACTTCTTTTTCTTACTGCATTATCTAGGACTTCCAGTACAGTGCTGAACAAGAATGATGAGAAAAGACATCCTTGCCACTGAATTGTACATTTTAAGAGTGGGTTTCATGGGGGCGCCTGGGTGGCTTAGTCGGTTAAACATCCAACTCTTGATTTGAGCTCAAATCATGATCTCATGATTGTGAGATCAAGCCCTGCTTTGGGCTACATGCTGGGTGTGGAGCCTGTTTAAGATTCTCTCTCTCTCTCTCTCTCTCTCTCTCTTCTCTCTGCCCCCTCCTTCAAAGATGCGAGTCCCCACCCCCCACCCCCCAAAAAGTGGATTTTATGATAGGACATATGTTATTGAAACAATCAAGTAAAAACATCAAATAGCTTCATGTTGAACTTAGGGGAAAATAGTCTGATATCCTGACACTATACTATAAGGACTTGAGATGTAAGTTCCAGAGGGTTGCTGGAGGGGTTATGGGTGGGGGGGATGGGCTAGATGGGTAAGGGGTATTGAGGAAGACACTTGTTAGAATGAGCACTGGGTGTTATATGTAGGAGATGAATCACTGGATTCTACTCCTGAAATCATTATTGCACTATATGTTAGCTAACATATTTATTAAAATATTTATTATTTTATTAAAAAAATAAAAATAAGAAAAAAATAAGTTCCAGTATCCATTGCAATAATGTAGGACAGAGAGGATTAGTTTTATGGCAATAATAGAAGAATTGGAAATAATTATAAGGTAAAATGAACATATTGTGTTCCCCAAATCCTGGTATTAGTTTTGTAGGGTATCAACAGGTCTCCTAGTTCCACCTTACTAGATTCTAGTTCACAATTTCATATTGTTCTGCTTCTTCCACTGAACTAAAAGGTATAAAAGAACTCTTACTCGAGGCACCTAGGTGGCTCAGTTGGTTGAGCATCCGACTTCGGCTCAGGTCATGATCTTATGGTTCATGGGTTTGAGCCCCGCATCGGGCTCTGTGCTGACAGCTCAGAGCCTGGAGCCTGTTTCGGATTCTGTGTCTCCTTCTCTCTCTGCCCCTCCCCCACTCGCGCTCTGTCTCCCTCTGTCTCAAAAATAAATAAACGTTAAGAAAAATTAAAAGAACTCTTAATCTTCATATCTATAAAGCACTTACTTTGTACCTCTTATTGTCCTGGATACATTATCGTGTTACACACCTCTTAAAAGAATCTTTAACTCATGCATTTTTTCAAATTTTTCAATGTAGTAACACAGAGAAAACATGTAAACTAAATATATATAAAATGGGTTAAGGAAAAATTTCTAAATAAAAAGGAATTTTACCAGAGTTGAAAGACTCATATAATGCTTAATAGTATAATCACAAATTGAGATTTTTATAACCTTTGAAAAACTCTTCTGGTAAGATTATTGAATCATATTAACCATCTGATAAACACTTGCACACATTAATGATCATGAAACTAGTGTAAAAGCGACTTGGGCAATTTATCTAAACAGTATTTCACTTTCAGCAGTTATACTGGGTAAAGGGTCCTATGTGTGTAGCAGGAAAGGATGCATAAGAAGTTATTATTAGTATGAAGAAAATGGGTCTCTCCTAACCAAGCAATCAGGTTTGAGAGTAAACATTCTGTGTTGTATTCTAATCTCACTCCAGTGTTTTGCTTTTTGGTTTTTGGTATTTGACCATGGACAGACAGCTTTTAAGCCTCAGCCCTGTCTCAGTTGCCTTCCCTGTTTTTGGTACAGCTTGAGGTATAATTGACTGACACACACACACACACACACACACACACACACACATTTACTTACTGCACATATTCAGTGTATCTCCCTCTTCCCGTCTACTCTACAAGTGGCCAAATTTAGAAGCCCAGGTGCTCCTTTGGTGCCCACAAAAGGTCAAACCACACGCAGGACCCACCGTCTAGTATAAACTCCATAGAAACCTGAAGTGAGTCTCCTCGTCTCTCAAGCCATTTTTGTGGCAACTTCGGAAACCTGTCCTGCTCTCCCCAGAAAGTCTCACTGTGCTTTAAACATCTTCACATCCTTTTGGTGATTAGCATTATCAGTCTTGATACCCAAGACTAAATTTCAGATAGGGGTTCATCCCATGTCTGTGGAATATCGAAAAGTGCAAATTAACTATCTTCAAGGGGATCGATATGGGAAACTCCTAGTTGGCCTACAAAGCAAGACTAATGTATCCTCAAGTGTATATGTTCATTCTTAAGGGGAAACTCATGATCAGTGAGCTTTCCAAATTACTCCAGTGAAAGCTCCAAGTAGCGGTTGGGGGGAAACTTTGCACATATCATATCTCTCTACTCCTGAAATTTTCTTTTATTTCCTGACACTTCTCATATGCTTAATATATTTTGCCCCAGGGCTGAGCCTGGCTGGCTCAGTCAGTAGAGCATATGACCCTTGATTTCAGGTTGTTTTGAGTTTGAGTCCCACGTTGGGTGTAGAGATAGTGTGTGTGTGTGTGTGTGTGTGTGTGTGTGTGTGTGTATTATCTATTATCTCTATATAGATATATATGTATATATATGTGTGTGTATATATATATATGTATATATATATATATATTGGTTCATGTAAATCAAGGCCAGTACAAGTCGTGAGTCTCGTGTAGGCACAAACAAGGGCATATGGAAACATCAGGTGCACACTGATGAATTGCACTTCAAATGTTTGGAGTCTAAGGTTGCACTGCTGTGCTGTTTTCATCATAGCCACATAAATATCCAAGAGGCAGAGGGTGGAGGGAGTAACTCAAGTAAATTATGAGTATATATTCATAAAGTTTTATGTTCTTTGATTCCATCAGGGAAGAAAATTGTTGCAGATGCTTTTCAGCCTTGACAGCCTGAAGATGTATTGTTAATGTTTGTGTTGAAGTACTATAATGAGACAGGATAGACTTGATCTGATAGGGGGAAGAAAATAATTCATTTAGAGCTTTGAAAAAATGATTACATTTTATTAACGAAAACATAACTATGATATATTCTGAGTAAAACAGCATCAGTGTAGTGGTTAAACACAAATCCAGTACCTCTACACTGTATTCTGGTTGTTTTGATTAAGTTCTCCTCTCTGATAATTGCTTTTAGTTCCCCAAAATAAGGCTAAATTTTCACTTATCTTTGATATACAGCCACTATTTTCATTACAGGGAGAGGATGACTATCATTTCTTCTCCATTATTTCTAGCACATAAGCAGTCCCTGCTAACCTATCATGAAAATCTCAGTCTCTCAATCTTAAAGCCTGCTTTTTCATGCTATCTGGCACAACAGTGGTTTCTGATAATCCAGTGGCCCTCTGTTGTACTGACAAATCTGTAGAAGGGATCCTGAACATACTATTTACATCATTGTTTGACATATATTCTCTGCCCAACCCATTTTCTCATTCAATACCACACAACATTGTATGTTAAAATTCAGTGTTCCTTCAGGATACATGGATAAGAATGATTCTCATTTAATAAAGTAGGCCCTTTTATCATATTGATCTGCTCCCAGAAACCATCATGGTAACACACAAAAAAAACATGTAATGAAAGTAGAACACCAAACTTCAGGTTGAAAGACATCAATAGTAATGTAGGCTTTTTAAGAAACCTCAAATTAAAAACAAAAAAAGTAGGTTTAAAAGAAATGGTACAGGGGCACCTGGGTGACTCAGTGGGTTAAGCATTGACTGATGGTTTCAGCTCAGGTCCTGATCTCATGGTTTATGAATTTGAAACCCACACTGGGCTGTGTGCTGACAGCACAGAGACTGCTTGGGATTCTCTCTCCCTCTCTCTCTCAAAATAATAAAAAAAGATGGCACTTGAAAAAAATTTTTTTTAATAAATGGTACATCACTACTAAAGATCACCTTGTTCCACTGACACTTATCTCATGAGTCTTAAATGATTTGACTTTTAATTACTGTGAATAATTTAACATCTGAGGTTGATTAATCTTGGACTAGACTTAATTCTCCCTAGTATAAATCCTCTGATATATAGTGTATTGAGGAAAATGGTTAAATGATTTTCATTCATTATGTTTCTTTTTTACTCACATTTTTAAAAAGTTTATTTATTTTGAGAGAGAGTGGAGAAGGGGCAGACAGAAGGAGAGAGACAGAGAGAGAGAGAGAGAGAATCCCAAATAGGTTCTGCACCACCAGCATGGAGCCCAATGCAGGGCTCAAACTCATGAACCACAAGATCATGACCTGAGCTGAAGTCAGTCACTTAACTGACTGAGCCACCCAAGCACCCCACCATTCATTACATTTCTAAGGTTCCTCTTCAGTATGAATTCTTTGGTGAATCCTGAGGTCAGACCATTGTCTAAAGGCCTTGCCACATTCAATACATTTGTATGGTTTCTCTCCAGTATGCATTCTCTCATGACCCCAGAGGTGCGAACGTTTGATAAAAGCCTTCCCACACACAATACATTTGTGTGGTTTCTCTCCAGGATGTATATTCTGATGTCTTATGAGGCTTGAATACTGCTTAAAGGCTTTGTCACATTCATTACATTTGTAAGGTTTCTCTCCAGTATGAATTCTCTGATGAATTGTAAGGTTTGAATTTTGACTAAAAGCCTTGCCACACACATTACATTTATATGGTTTCTCTCCAGTATGGATTCTTTGATGTCGAGTAAGGCGTGAACACCAGTTAAAAGATTTGCCACACTCATTACATTTATAAGGTTTCTCTCTTCCATGAATTCTCTGATGATCCCCCAGGCTTGAGCTTTGAATAAAAGCATTACCATGTATACCTGAATCATGTTTCTTTTCAGTATGTATTTTCTGATGTCTAGTAAGGTGTACAAGCTGTGTATATGCTTTATCACATTCATTACATTTATAAGGTTTCTCACCAGTATGTTTTTTTTTATGTTTAGTTAGGCTTGAACGCACAGTAAAGGCTTTGCCACATTCATTACATTTGTGAGGTTTCTCACCAGTATGAATTCTCTGATGATCCACAAGACTTGAACTTTGGATAAAAGCCTTACCACATTCATTACATTTGTATGGTTTTTCTCCAGAATGAATTTTCTGATGTTTCACAAGACTTGAAATGTGGATAAAAGCCTTGGCACACACAGTACATTTGTGTGGCTTCTCTCCAGGATGTACATTCTGATGCTTAGTGAGGTGTGAGCATTGCTTAAAAGCCTTGCCACACTCATTACATTTATAAGGTTTCTCGCCGGTATGGATTCTTCGATGAATCCTGAGGGTAGACCACTGCCTAAAAACCTTGCCACATTCAATACATTTGTATGGTTTCTCTCCAGTATGAATTCTCTTGTGATCCCAAAGATATGAACGTTTGGTAAAACCCTTACCACATTCATTACATTTGTAAGGTTTCTCTCCTGTATGAATTCTCTCATGACGCCAGAGGTCTGAACACTTGATAAAAGCCTTACCACATTCGTGACATTTGTGTGGTTTTTCTCCAGTATGAATTCTCCAATGGTTTGTAAGGTGGGAATTTTGATTAAAGACCTTGTCACATATATTACATTTATATGGTTTCTCTCCGGTATGGATTCTCTGATGTCTTGTGAGGTTTGAGAACTGCTTAAAGGCTTTACCACACTCATTACATTTGTAAGGTCTCTGCTCAGAATGAATTCTCTGATGACTAGTAAGGACTGAATGATGGCTAAAAGTCTTTCCACATTCATTACATTTGTATGGTTTTTCTCTAACTTTTGTTTTCTGGTGCTGTGTAAGCAATGAAGGACACATAAAAACCTTTCCATATTTATTACAAATGTTGGTTTTGACACTAGGAGGCAATCTCTGAAGCGGCAAAATGGAACAAGTTTTGACAGACTTCTCAACTTGAGTACTTCCACTAATTTTCTCCTCAGTTTGAAATAATTCAGCCAGATGCCATTGGGAGCTTAATGCAATTCTATTTTCAAAACATTTTGTGTACTTGTTTCCTGCATAGACTATATTGGTTTTTATTTTTAACAAATTCTTTATTAATGATTTCCCTTGTTTAAAATATCGGTATGTACTTTTTCTTAAAGAAACACTGTGCTTTAAAGGTAAATTAATCCAGGATTTGCTGTCTTGTTTATTTCTTCGACCACTGAGATTTAGGTTATCTGTCACAAGCATTCCTTTTGAATTTCTTTCTTCATATTCGCACTTGCTCTCAAATTCATACATATTTCCCCAGACTTCCCTGAAGTCAAAATCCTCAAGGCCATGGCTTTCAGGTCTTCCCAAGAGCACTGATTGGTATAATTCTCCATTATTAATGTCTTTCTTTCGTAATAATTCCTTGATCACGAATGTAGCAGAGCTATCTGAAAGATATATATGAAAAAAAAAGTCTTCATATTAACTAGAGTTGCAAGATGGATGTTACACTAAAAGTAAAACTTACATTGAAGAAATAAAAACTTCTCAACCAAAGTCTGTAAATGTTTAAGAAGGCAAAGTGAATAGAATCTTTTAATAAAAGATAACATGTATTTCGAATTATATTAAGAGAAACCTACTTTGAAACACCCTATGACCAAATCATTCACATTATGTAAACTTATGTAAGTTCTGAAAGAAAGTGTATTCTTTGCCCACCACATCAAAACACACACCAAATGCCAGTAGACAAATAGGTGTGTCGTACTGAAAACGTATTATACAAATGCATATTTACAGTATAATTACTGTATGCAAATAAATGATGAGGCACAATTCTACATGAAGTAATGACAATCCATAAAAATATGAATTAGGGGCGCCTAGCTGGCTCAGTCGGTAGAGCATATGACTCATGATCTCGGGGTCATGAGTTTGAGCCGGATGTTGGGTATAGAGATTCCTTAAAAATAAAGTCTTTCAAAAAAAAATTAATAAGATAAATACCTGGAAGTTACAAACCATAAAAGTAAAAATAAAAAGGTAATAAGTCAAGAAGAATTTAATACATCATTGGAATAAGAAAATATTCTTAATATCTACTCTAAAACTGTCTATGCTGTATGCAGAATAGGCATTTTAGAACATTTAACAATTGGTGACTTGCAGTCATATTCCATACTAGATACTGAAACTCCTGATCTGTAGATGACAAGTTAATAAATGAAATTTTTAAATTAAACCAAGATAAATCCAACAGGTAAATAATAAGTAACCACACTTACACACAATTATAGACTGGAATTCTAATGATTTCTCTCTTAATAACAAGGGAAAGGACTTATATTCCAGAAAGAGCACACAATATGAGAATTGGAAAACATGTTGAGAAAAGCTTCCACATATTCATAGCAGTCTAAGTTACACACATGCCCAGTGGCTTCTGAAATGTCAGTTTTCAGATAATTAGTATTGTAAAGAACTGGGTAAAAGTAACAGCATGAAAATCGTGGAAGATTCTAAGTCCATCTCTCTATAAAAACAGCAAGTAAGTTGGCAAAAACTGTCAGAATCAACTTTATCAAAATTCTGGAAACCAAACAAAGATTTACAGCAATCACGTAGGTACTTAAGAAAAAGGCAGCTGATCTCAGTTGGAGAGATTTTAACATTTTAACTTCCCCTGGCCCAATCCCATTCTCTACAGCATAGAGGCAGCCCATGTTCCTGCTATAGGTCCCATGTACCGGGAGTGGCAGAACAGACTTGATTCTCTAAGAATTGTGGGTTTTACTTTGATCTGCTTGGTGGCTCACTGAAAAACTGGCTCAAAAAGTTTTGCCTTTGCCGAATTCAAGAGGTGCTTTACCAGATGGGGTGGGAGTGGTGTGCATTTGACAAGCATATTTAAAGGCAAGTATACTAGCAGACGGCACACTTGGGGCCAAGAGAAGACACTGTAAAGCCAGGGATGAAGGGCTGGGGAGTAAAATGCTTTGGGGAATAAGGGCTTTGAAAAACAGCTACACGTTCCTAGGAATCTAAGTCGTGCACATTCCCAGGGTGGGGCCAGTGCTCAGAAAACACGTGAGGTGACCCTGTGCCTCACCTCCTGTTAACCTTCAGGCTCGGCAGAAGCAGGAGGTAAAGGCTAAGACCCCACTGTAAACCGCCAAGCTGAGTTTTGGGTATTCCCAAACAAACGTACAAAGTCTATTTCCAAAGACTAGGAGTCTCTTGCTTTTTGGTTTTTTTTGGTTCCAGGTGTTTGAGAAGTTATGCGTTTAATCACTAGCTCACCACTAAGCAAACCAGATGTGACAAACAATACAGACTTTACAAAACTGACTCAGAAAAATGACTAAACAGACAACAGCAACTGCAGTAAACAACAATAAGCAATGCTGAGGTGCGGGTATGGGTGGGGGAGAATGTGACTTCCAGAGTTGTCATAATACTCAAAATGTTTAACTTAAAAACATAATTATGAGGCAGGCAAACCAACAATAATGTATAGCTCATACATAGGAAAAGAAGCAGTTTAACAAAGATTGTCCCTGAGGAAGCCCAGACATCAGACTTTGCTAGACAAAGAATTTATGTCACTATTTTGAAAGAACTATGCTGAAAGAACTATGAAGAGACCATATGCAAATAACCAAAGGACCCAATGACAGCAATATTTCTCAAAACTGAGAATATCAAGAAAGAGGCAGAAATTAGAAAAAGGAACCAGAATCGACATTCTGGAGCTGAAAAGTACAGAAACTAAAATGGAAAAAGCCCTAAGGGAGTTTAGCACCAAATTGAACAGGCAAATTGAACAAATTAAGTCCACTGAGATTACTCAGTCTCAGCAGAAGAAAAAAGCATGAAGAAAAATGAATGGAACAAGAGACTTGCGGGGCACTTTCAAGTGTACCAACACAGATCATGGGAATCCCAGAAGGAGAGGACAGAATGAAATGGGCAGAAAAAATATTTGAAGTAATAAGGCAGAAAAACTCCCAAATTTGGTGAAGTACATAAACCTACAAACATATCCAAGGAGTTCAGCAAGGCCCGAGTGAGATAAACTGAAAGATGCCCACAGTGAAACACTTCATAATCAAGCTGTCAAAAGCCAAAGACACAGAACCCTGAAAGCGGCAAAGGGTAGTTCCTCTGGTAAAAGAGATCGTCAATAAAATTACCCAATGATTTCACACCAGAAACCGTATGAACCAGAAGGCAACGGGATGACATTTTCACAGTGCTAAAGAGAAATAAAGGTCTATTAAGAATTCTACACACTTCAAACTATCCTTCAAAAATAGAAGAAAAGTTAAAATGTTGCCAGAAAAACAAAACAAAACTGGGGAGTCCCTTGCTGGAAGACCAGTCTAACAAAAAATTAGTAAAGGGAATGCTTGAGGCTAATATGAAGGAAGAAACAAAAACGCGAATCCACATCAAGAAATAAGAAACAGTAATAAAGACAGTAGACTGGTGAGTATAAGGTTAGTATTGTGTTTCCGGTTTGTCACTCTTTTTCCCTATTGATTAAAACAACAACATCAAACAGTATTTAAAATCTGTGATTTAAATGTGAACCACTGATGGTCACACAATATATATACAGAATTTGTGACAGCAGCAGAGGAGAGAAGGACAGGATTTATAGAAGCAAAGTTTTTAGGGGCGCCTGGGTGGCTCAGTCGGTTAAGCATCTGACTTCAGCTCAGGTCATGATCTTATAGTCCGTGAGTTTGAGCCCTGCATTGGGCTCTGTGGTGACAGTGCAGAGCCTGGAGCCTGCTTCAGATTCTGTGTCTCCCTCTCTCTCTGCCCCTCCCCTGCTAGCGCTCTGTCTCTCTCATAAATAAACACTAAAAAAAATAAAAAATAAAAGAAGAAAGTTTTTATATACAGGCATACCTTGGAGATACTGTGGGCTCAGAGAGCAATGCGAATCTAATGAATTTTTTGTTTTCCTAGTGTCTGGAGTATCAGAAAAAACAGACTTTAAGTAAAAATTGTTACGAGACAAAGGACAATATATATTTTAAAAAGTAGAACTCATTAAGGAATTACAGCAAATATGAACATATACACAAGAGAACCCCAAAATATATGAAATATTTATAGAATTGAAGGGAGAAATAAAAATAGTTGTAGAAGAGTATTTGGAGACTTCCAGACCTCACTTTCAATGATGGAGAGTACAGCCAGACAGAAATTCAGGAAGGACACAGACAATTTTAGCCGAGTATAAACCAGCAAGCACTGACAGACGTATATGGAGCACCCCGCCCATAAGAGCAGAATACATTCTTCCCCACTTGCACGTGGGACATTCTCCAGGACAGACCATATATCAGTCCGTGAAGTAAGTCTCAACAAATTGAAAAAGAGTGAAATCATACAAAGTATTTTCTCCAACCACAGAAGAATGAAATTTGACATCAGTAACTGAAGGAAAACTGGAAAGGACGTAAATACATGAAGATCTTTAAACACTTAAAAAATCCCATGGGTCAAAGAAGGTATCACACAGCAAAGTAGAAAATACTTTGAAAGAAAAGTAACAAAAACACACAACATAGCAAAACTTACAGTATAGTGTGGTGTGGACGTGCTTATACTGCTGCTGAGTCAAAGCAGTTTCGGGGCTGGATTGAAAGACCCACCCACCCCCGTGACACACACTCTAACGTGGGACAAAAGCAAAACTGAAGAAAGGGCCTGAAGAGGCAGAGAGCTCTGGGCCCACAGATGCTGATGTTTTCCAACACCAGGAGCAGGTCTCCTAAGCACACAGACTGAGGATGATCCTAGAGAAGTCCTGATGCCAGGATTGGGGAGGCTTCAGCTCTGACCCGTGTGGACTGGGAACAAGAATGGAATGAGAAAAGAAAGAAAGAGAATGAGAATGAGAAAAGAATGAGAAAGAGAAAGAGAACCCCTTAAAACCAGCCCCCTAGTGCCCTTCATGGTCAAGGAACAAAAGAGGTCACAGGGGCATGGACGCCTGGCTGGCTCAGCAAGAGGGCGTGCAACTCTTGATCTTGAGTTTGTAAGATCGAGCCCCACGTTAGGTGGAGAGATTACTTAAAAATAAAATCTTGGGGCGCCTGGGTGGCATGAGAGGAGATGCGGTTAAGCGTCCGACTTCAGCCAGGTCACGATCTACAGCGTGCAGTCTAGGAGTTGCAGGCCCAGAGTCAGGCCTCTGGGCTGATGGCTCCTGGAGTCCTGTTCCCGATTCTGTGTCTCCTCTCCTGCCCTCGCGCTCTGTTTCTCTCATCCCCAAATGAAATAAGCGTTAGAAAAAAATTAAAAAAAAAGTAACATTTATTTATTTTTGAGAACACAGGCACGGAGAGGCAGAGAGAAGGGGATATAATCAAGCTGACTCAGAGCTCTGAGCTGTCCGCATGGAGCCCTACGTGGGGCTGGAGCCCACAAACCAGGAGATGGTGACCTGGCAGAGTGGAAACATGAACCACTCAGGTGCCCCCAAAATAAAATGTAAAAAAAAAAAAAAAAAAAAAGAGGTCATGGGGGCGCCTTAATAGAGTGCTGGGTCTGTGACAAAATTTTGCCTTAGTCTTTGCATGGAGGCCAGGGCTAGGAGATGCATTCACGTCTGAAGAAGGGGAGTGATGAGGAAGGGGGAAACAAACTTTTCCTCTGAGGAGCTCACAAAGAAAAGAACATTGTTTCCACAGAGCTCCCCATGGCGGGGAGAGTTCCCCCATGTGGTGTGGCCTCTCTCTGCCTTCCTGAGCTCTTGCCTCATCTTCCCCACCCCATTTGGTTTCTACTGTTTCACCTGCTCTCCAGTCTGGGGCTCTTTCCCTTGCTCAAAATAGAATGTCATTCAAGGGGCAGAAAGGGAGATTCCTGCTTATAAAAGAAAGATGAAAAAAAAAAAAAAAAGGAAATGTGATGTGCTAACATCTTTTCCAGGAGATGGTTTCCAGCCTTTGTTCTGGCTAGCAGGGATGTTACAGATGTAGAGAAAAGAGCATTCCACAGGCCTCTTCTCCTGAATGCTTATGGATATTTTTAAAACATAAAGATATCAGCTCTCTTGAGCTACTGGGTCAGGCACATGGATCTGAGATGGATCCAGATAGGACATTTTAAAGTTTGCCATAAGGTTTTGTTCTTCCTCAACTTCACAGGCAGCTAGTCTGTGGGTCGAAGGGAGGCGGAAGGGGATGCCGCCTCATAAAAGTTCTCATTTCAAAATGAACCCAGCCTCAATCTCCATCAAGCAGAGCAAGGGCTCCCAAGAGACTCACTGGGGCAGATCCCGACTTCTGGAGGGACGTTTTCCTTGCCCAGGGAGACCAGGTTCCTGTAGTTCTCCAGGCTGGTGCCTTCCCTGAGGCAGGGGTCCAGGCACACCCATTCCTCCTGAGAGAATTCTATGGCCACATCCCTGAAGGTCAACCGTTCCTGAAATGAAAAACACATTTCACCACGGATCCTTGGGGGTGAGTTCTCCTGTTCACACAAAATATGAGCGGGAGAGCAGTGTAAGGACCAATTCAACCGAAGTGAATGTTCTGACATATCATTTTGGGCAAGAACAGGTAACTGTGAGCAATTCTTAGGTCCCTAATTTTGTTTCATTATATTTTTCCATCAGAGGATGTCGAATCCACTACATCACTGTAGATTTCCCATTTTTGTGGACAATAAAAAGAACGATATAAATGAAAAATATCCAACTCGCGGTTGATTATATGGACGCCGTACGCCGTACACCTGACCTTCTCCTGAGTGACAGTTCTACACATATAGTGGATCTAGAGCACAAGAGGTAACTTCAGGTGTGACAAACTATATGCAAAAATATAAATACATGTTTTCATTTAAAGTCAGACATTTAGCCATTATGGAATGTATGCATCAAATGGAGCTTATTCCACTAAAAACAACAAAGGATTCGGGTTGATGAACTTTACTAATGTACATTAATTGAACTAAATAGAACACAGGTTGGTCACAGCAGATCTTTGAAGAAATATTGGATGATTAAAAAAAAACAAAAACATAAAAGGGGCGGGGGGCGCCTGGGTGGCTCAGTCATTTAAGCATCTGACTTCGGCTCAGATCACGGGTCATGATCTCTCGGTTCCTGAGTTCGAGCCCCGCATCTGGTTCTGTGCTGACAGCTCAGAGCCTAGAGCCTGCTTCAGAATCTGGGACTCCCCTCTCGCTGCCCCTCCCCGTCTCATGCTCTGTCTCTCTCAAAATATAAATGTTAAAAAAAAAATTTTTTTAAATCATACCAAACAGGACATCTGAAACGTTTTTATTGAGGAAGAACTTTCCACCAAGCATCACAATCCACAGTAAGCACTGGAAACATTTCCACCAAAGGTGAGGCTGAGGTAGGTGGGCCAGCCAGGCTCCTGCCATTCACCGCTGCTCTGGATGCCTAAGCTGGGCCCAGCTGGGGGGAAACACTCATTCCCATTAGAAGTTGCACTGAGGAACCTATTTGCAAGACATTTCCCAACCTATGTGAAGGACATAACAAAGACATGACCAAAAACTGACAAACCTAATTCTTTTTGTTTTTTAATTTTTTTAATGTTTTTTTTATTTTTGAGAGAGAGAGAACACGAGCAGTGGAGGGGCAGAGAGAGAAGGAGACATGGAATCTGAAGCAGACTCCAGGCTCCAAGCTGTCAGCAAAGAGCCCAACGTGGGTCTCGAACTCATGAACCACAAGATCATGACCTGAGCCAAAGGCAGATGCTCAGCTGACTGAGCCACCCAGGCACCCCCAAACCTAATTCTTACTGGAGGTGTGGTGACATAAAGACCTCAGTGATTTAGAAACTCAGAGCAATTCCAATGCAAAAGAAATGTGGGATTTAAAAAAACGAAACAGTGGCCATTGTGCTGAGGAAAAATAATTTTGAAAACAAAAATTAAATGGAGTGATTTGCCAAAAAACACATGAACCGGGGCGCCTGGGTGGCGCAGTCGGTTAAGCGTCCGACTTCAGCCAGGTCACGATCTCGCGGTCCGTGAGTTTGAGCCCCGCGTCAGGCTCTGGGCTGATGGCTCAGAGCCTGGAGCCTGTTTCCGATTCTGTGTCTCCCTCTCTCTCTGCCCCTCCCCCGTTCATGCTCTGTCTCTCTCTGTCCCAAAAATAAATAAACGTTGAAAAAAAAAAAATTTAAAAAAAAAAAAAAACCACATGAACCTATTGTGTGTGTTACATGAAACTTTACAATCAATGAAATAAATAACTACCAGATATATACAAAAAGCCAATTTAAGGAGATAATTTTAAGAAAAGAGTACTAAACGGAACATAATACCTTGAGATTATGCTAGCTCAGATCTGCCTAAGAAAGATCCGAAAGTAGAGGGCAAGAAGGAAAGATTTACATTTCACTGCAAAACACTGATAAAATAAAGACACAAGGCTGTGTGTAAAGAATTAAGCCATAAAATAGCCCTTAAAAATATATCAAAGGAGAACAGCAAAGTATGAAAATCCAGGTTTTATTCCCACAAAACTAATGAAAGTTACAAGTAGGTGGAAAATGGAAATACAACGGATTGTCAATTTCTCCCCAATTTTCAAACACAAAGATATTACAGTACCAATTTTGCCTACGTCAGGGGGGGAAGTCTCGTGTTGTTGTGGGATGGGGTACTTCGTAGCTTCAGGAGACCATATCGGACAGAATCTATCCTAATGTGAAATGCACTGTCCTTAACCCAGTAATCACACGTTGAGTTGCCTGACCCAGAGAAATCCTGAGACATCCGCAGAGAGGCCGGCCTACTCCTACACAGCCATCGTGGCATTCTTTACATCAGCGAAAAATGGCAAAGGTCCCCGTGTGTCCCCATTAAGAAAATGATCCAATGAGGCTCTGAATGAGCAAGCTGTGTCTGATTGTGTTGATTAACATGAAAACAGTGTCTAGACGTGCTGTGTAAATTTTTCTAATTTGCATAATAAAATGTTACGACAAACTTCATCGAGATTTCCTAAAATTTTATACCAGTGTTAAATGCGTTTGTATCAGGTTTGCACTGACTCCTGCCACAGAACTGACAACATCGGTTCCCTGTTGAGACATGAAGGGTGGGGAAGTGACAGGGAAGAGCATCCCCTTCTGACTACATCTTCGTGCCTAAGTTGCTTCTTGGTCTGGAGCTTATTCAATCAACCAATCAATACATGTCACTCACTCATGTCATGTCCAAGGTCAATGAGATATAATACTTAAAAATAATGGTGGAACCAGATGGCTACAGCCCCTCTGATGGTGAAGATAAAGTTCTATGCTCCAGATCTGGGCTAAATTAACACCATTTTCATCTAAAACATCTGCCTCACAAGAGCTGCTGTAGGAACGCCATGGTCTCTGTGGGACAGATGTGCTGAGAATGATTTTTTTAAAACCTTTACCATTGATTAGGTTGACTCCACACTGTAAAACCAACTATGGAATAAAACATCCACTATCACGGATGCTGATTTCTGAACTTGATTCTAAATTAGTAGTTTGGAACCAGAAACAGCATGGTGCACTTGTTTAGCTCTGAATGCATTACAAGGTCAGGCAGAGCTGCTTTCTTCTTACCACTCTTCTTTTCCAGAGTCTTCCAACTCTTCCTACACATGAATCCAGGACTTCCACACACGGCTTCTTTCATCCTGGTCGACAGAGAGCCTACTGTGTGTCCAGAGGCGGCGCCTAAACACCCCCTGCAGCCCAGCCACACTGACACCACCCGTCTCCACTCGCCTTCTGCGAAGCCCCTCAGGATGTGCCCAGTGTAGCCCCCTCACAGGCTCCGATACCTGGGTCACTACGAGCTGGAATCTAAGTGCAGAGGAGAGGGACTGGGGGAAGGCCTGGGGGAGTGTGGACAAACAGTTCAGACTCAGACAAGGTTAGCAAGTCCAAGGGCCTTGCAGGAATGAGAGACAGGAAATCGACCCAGGATATGACTTCACCTGACAGACGGCCATTCCCAACTCCTTTCCTTTGCTCTTCCTCCCTTTCCAGGATTCTTCCTCAGGCAGGATCAGGTTTGGGAATTCAATCCTAAGTGTCAAGAAAACGCAGCTTAATGCTTTGAGTCAGTCTGGGTCCTTCCCGTCCTGCAGCCTCACACGGGAAGGCCTCTCCGTGTGAAAACACGGGGGGTGCCCCGGGACAGTGGACTCCTCCAGAGGCCAGCAAGTGACCTTCCCACCCTTCTTCTTCAGAACCGGCTCCCGCCCTGGTGAAGCCCCCCCCCTCCCCCGCACACGGCATCAGTGGGGACCTGGGCGGGACCTGACCCTCCCTGCAGATCACAGGCCTGCCCCGATCACACCCCATGCAGAGCGGGGCCCCCTCACCTCTCGCTGGGTCAGGCTGATGTCAGCCTCAGACATGCAGCACCACAGCCTTGGTGCTCAGCGCTGGAGACACATCAGAAACCCCCCAGGCACTTTAACTAGGACTGAGATCAGGCCCTGTCTCCCCTTGGCCATTTGAAGGGAATCTTTGGGAGGAACACAAGAGCTGTATCTGCAGACAGCCTCAGATTTACAGCGTGAAGCTGGGTGGAGCACACTCAGGAGGCCCACCCAGCACATCCCCCTTCTGGCTCTGGATCCCCAGGGGCCTTGCTGTCATGAATATCCAGCCAGTGGAAGGGGAAGGAGCAGGAGAGAGATGCCAAGGAGGCACTATGGACCAGAATTGGGGGTGGGGGCGTGGCTGGAATGTTAAAGGGAGCGGGGGCGAGAAGGCGCCACTGAGAGGTGATATCAGAACAAAGACCAGAGGAAAGAAGAGATTTTACCACCTGCACGTGAGGGGTCAGAGACTTCGAGGCAGAAGGACACCCATGTGAAGACCCTAAGGTAGTGGTGTTCTGAGCTCCAGAAAGGACAGAGAAGGCTGTGCAGCTGGAGCAGGGTGAGTAGAAGAGACAAGGAGGTAAGATCAGAAAGTATTAAAGGAAGCAAATCAGAAGGGACTGCATTCTTCCAAATGTCCCCCATACCTCATGTATTCCCTTATCCATTTTGAGTAAACATCTGATTTTTATTTATTGTGTCCTAAGTTAAAACACTAACAAGTAATGTCTGTTTTGCAAACATGTCAAGATGCCCATCTAAGCCCAGGAAATACAGGGTCACCCTATATGCAGAGGCAGACTGCAAGGGACAGGTTTGGAGGAGTTTGGGGGGGGGTCACTGTTGGACATATTAAGGTGAAGATACCAGGCTGTTGTCCCAGCAGAGACATCGAGGAGACAGCTGGGTAAAGGCCCCTGGTTTCAGGGGAGAAGTCTGGTGGAACAGTGAAAGGAGACATCAGTGTTGAAAGTCATGAGATGGGGCGAGGGGGAAAGGCAGGAAGTGAGAAGGGTTTCAAGGCTAAGCCCAGGGGTGCTCCTGCAGTCAGAGACCAAGGAGTTAGGAGAAACAGGCGCCGGGAACGGATGCATGAACATGGAGAAGAACGTTAAAACAGGTAAGTGGTAGTTTTACTTGTAAAAAACTAGTGTGATGTGGAAACCAAGAGAAGAGTGCTTCAGAAAGAGGAGCCTGGTGTGCTGTTGCTGGGACCAGCATGAAGAGAAGGGGAAGCCAGTCCCTGGACTGAGAAGTGGGGAGGTCCCTGGTGACTTGGCCATGGAGAGTCTCAGCGGCGCAGTGGATACGAAACAGAACCGGAACCAAGATGTGAAGCAGAGTATAAACAAGTGTTTAGTGTATTCTGCTCTAAAATGGAGCACACCCCAGGGCACTCACCACCACGGGGAATGCGGCTGATGGAAGGTTCTTTATTTTAGAGGTGTGAGAAAAGGGGCGCCTGGGTGGCTCAGTCGGTTCAGGTCATGACCTTACCGCTTGTGAGTTGGAGCCCCGCGTCGGGCTCTGTGCTGACAGCTCAGAGCCTGGAGCCTGCCTCGGATTCTGTGTCTCTGTCTCTCTCTGCCCCTCCCCCACTCTCTCTCTGTCTCTCATAAATAAACATTAAAAATTTTTGTAAATAAAAATAAAGATGGGAGAATGTAGTAAAAGCCTATTTTTTGTGTATTTTTTTAAAAGATGGGACGATAGGGGCGCCTGGGTGGCACAGTCGGTTAAGCGTCCGACTTCAGTCAGGTCACGATCTCGCGGTCCGTGAGTTCGAGCCCCGCGTCGGGCTCTGGGCTGATGGTTCAGAGCCTGGAGCCTGTTTCCGATTCTGTGTCTCCCTCTCTCTCTGCCCCTCCCCCGTTCATGCTCTGTCTCTCTCTGTCCCAAAAATAAATAAATGTTGAAAAAATTATTTTTTTTAAAAAAGATGGGACGATATCGCCATATGTATATGCTGAACCAAATAATTGCCTGGAGGTAAAAATTGATGATCAGGGTCCAAAGGATCCTGAGGCTGTCGTACTGCTGGACCTCACAGCCGTTCTGCAGCTGTTCCCAGAGACCCACCTCCAGCAAGCCTGCCTCAGTGAAAGCACCCACCTCCTGGGCCCCAGTCCCCCACTGTTTCCCTTCTTGACTCACACACTCCTGCGGGTTCCCATGCTGTTTGTGCTACACTCCCAGCGCACACCCCACACACAATATTACACGACAGAAACCTCCTAATCAGCTACGCACTTTGCCCAAAGATCCTACGCCACGTTCCTAATACCAGTCTTTTATTTTGGCAGGAAGACACCCACCAACCCAGGATTCGACACGTTCCCTCTTGGAGACCATACCCCAACGTCAGGCACCTCCATGACGCCATGATACAAGAGCAATGTCTGCAATGATCCACATACTCCAACTAGACTCCAGGACCTTCTGGAACACCCCCAACTGTCATCTGTATCCCACAAAACACATGTGATGCCTTCAGGAATGCTTTGCCTGAAATAATGAGATTTTCCCCACCAAAACCACCACAGATTACCCCCCAAATGGTGACATTTTCCCGTTAAACCCTTATGGGTCCTAAGAGACCCCACAAGTCAACCACGGAAACACTAGCTGCACTTCCTGAATCCACCCCTCAGGATTCAGGCACAAACTGCCCCACAGCTGTCAGTCTGGCTGCTATTGCTGGACAGCTCACTCCCTCCTTGTAAACGGCCTCTTCACCACAGCACCTGGCTGACCAGCCAGTGTCCAATGTCCGGTCGATGCAGGAAAGAGAAGGCTTTCCCTTCCCTCACATTGGACCAACTCTGGAAGGTCACCCCACCTGCAGAGCTCTAGGCTGTCGCCATACAGTGGAGTCTGGATTTTTGTCCCGAGGACAACCAGAAGCCAATGAAAGGATTAAAAGCCAGGGAATTCCCTCCCTGCTCTGTTTGTCCCTCTGCTGTCTCTGTCACCGTTGCCCCTCTTTCTGTCCCAGCACCACCTCTATCTGCCACGGCCCCAATTCTTTTATTCCTTCCCCACTCTCATTCTGATGTGCCTGCTCTTTGCTGCCCCACTCCCATCACCGGTTAAGATCTCTCTCGTCCAGGGTGCTACCCTTCACCTCTCTGGAGATACCTTTTAATCTAGATTTCTCTACTTTCTTTTCTCCCTCTACTTTTCTGTGGTTCACTCCACTCTTTCTCTCCACATCCACTTGCTCTTCCCTGTTTTACTCTCTTTCTTTCTTCCTTTCTCTCACACGTAGTTTTACTCATTCTCCCTCAGACTGTCTCTGCTTCGCCCCCAACCCTGACACTCACAACTATGGAAAAAAAAAGTTCTCTGCCCGCGAAGAACACTTTCCAGGGCGGCTTCAATAGTGGAAACACACCATGGCAAGCACAGCCGGTGGATGCGAATCGTGCCCAGGAAGCTCCCAAGGCTGTGAGTACAAAGTGGAGTACTAACGGGGGAGGGGCCCGGCTCCGGAGGTCGCGTAGGTGGAGGGGGTGTCCGGAGAGGGGTGGTGCCTGCAGAACCCCAAGGCCAAGGAGACGTGGCTTCTGGGTCTGCACTAGCGCCTGGGGGAGACGAGAGAGGAGCAGCCTGGGGGCCAGAGAGGGAGGACGCGAAGGGGAAAGGGCCAGAGAGTGCGGAGTCCCGGGAGGGTTTTCAGCAGGAAAAAGACGCGGCAGGAGCGGTCTACCTGGACCGAAGGCGGACGGCCGGGGGCGGGGACGCGCCTCAGAGACTTTAACTCGAAATAGTCGTCGACCCCCGAACCCGCAGTGGGGCTCCCAGGCCTGGAATATCTGACGGTCCTGCCGAGAATCATCGGGCGCAGCACAAGCGCCTGAAGGGGGTTTTATCGTACGTGGTGACCCCCGAACTGCGGGTGTTGCGGATCGGAGGCCGGGGACGGGCAGGTGTATCGCAAACACCAGTGTTGAATCAGAAAAGCTGACACTGACCCACCGGAGGGTGTCCTTAGCTCCGTTTCCGGGTCTGGGAAACTGCGCGTGCGCAGCGTGCGGCGGGGGGGCCGCCCAGGGACGGGCCTTGGACAGTGGCCTGGACTGGACAGAAAGTGAGCGGCCGAAGGGGCGTGGCCGAAGTAGGCGTAGGGTCTGGGCCTCCGTCCCGCCCCTGGACGTTTCTCCGCACTTTCAGCCCTAAAGTACCTTGCACCCTGCTTTTGAGTTTCTTTGAATCTCTTTGGTATCTCGTGGACCGAGCGGCCTCCTGGCTATTTGAAGTTAATGTTTCAAACAACTTGAAGTAAAAGATTAGAGTTGTGAGAGCCACTTATATTAGAAGCCGAAATGTTTTCCTTTTTTAAGTTGGAAATGGTGTAAGTCAAAGCTCTTTTTGCTGGCGGGAGGGATTGGGGAATACAATTAAAAATAAAATCATCTCCCAACCCAGCAATCCTCTCCACAAAGGTAGTAGGAAAGAAAACCGTTTCATTAGTGAGTAAGCTTTAAACCAGAATGTGACATGCATCACAGGCAATCTGTTGAGAGATTGCAAAGATAAATCTTACCCTGTCATAGAAGACAAGCAAGCGGATACGACCGATTACATACATGTTCTCAAGAAAGATAATAAGTTTTCCTCAAGAAGACATGACGACACCATTCGTCACACATAGCTCATCCTAACATCAGGTAAGCAGAGTGGCCACTTGTTTTAGCTAATTGGCTTTATCCAGAGAGAAAACAAACTTCTCATATTAATGACTGGAGGGAGTTTTGAAACTGGGAGCAAGGCACCTGCTGAGTTAGGCACCTATCTTCCCGCAGGAATTGGGAGGAGATAAATGTATTATCTCCTTTGATATTTACATTTCAAAGAGTTGACTCCCAGATCCTTGAGCAAACATTCCTGAGTTACAATGTTGGCACGAGTCTTATTTAGCTTTTAAAAGACATACATACATTCCAAACAGGCAGAGAAAACTTACAAGTTTCCTAAGAGAAATGCTCTAGGAAAAAGGAGGAAGAGAAGTCTCTTTTCCTTCCCCCCTTTTTAAGAGAGAATTAAATCTGTTTTCTCTCTCTCATTTTTAGTTTATACTTTTCCTTACAGAAACAGCATGCATTCACTAATATATAAATATTA